ACTCTATTATGAAGTATGTTAGGCTTCATTGAATTTAGGCTTTGACTTCATTATGCTATTTTCATTCTTTTGAAACAATTGAAACATGAAACCTGGTTCTTTACTCTCTATGTCTCGCTAATCAACCATATTTAATTTAATGTGGTTTTTGACGTCTCCCCCCTTATGATTCTCTCTCCTCCTAACCCCCCCTCCCTCCTCACTGCTTATATTCTTTTAACCTATGGTTCTGCTGCAAATATATCTTTTTAACAGGCATTATTGTTCGGAATACTCTTGTAATGTATGACCGTGAACATTCAAAGGTTGGTTTCTGGAAGACCAATTGTTCCCAGTTATGGGAAATGCTTCGCATCACTGATGCCTCAGCACAACTTCCTCCAGCTCCAACTCCAACTGAGAATGATGCATACTTGGGCGAAAGTAATTCAACCATTGAATCATCAAGCAAAATTCTCCCAGGTATACAAGCTGCAAATTTTAGATTTTCTATATGATTCTTTCTTCTAACCGATCATATTAGGATAAGTCTCATCTTACGTGAGCCCCAGGAAGTTCTTTGACATGATGAATGAACTGCAACATTGTGAACAAGAAAAGATTTTTGGCATGGCGATGGATAAGCTTTTTCACACCCTATCTTGATTATATTGTTTCTCTAGAAAATAATATAGACAATCATCTTGGTGCTTTACCGTCTGCTTTCTCTCTATAACCTTATTATTTTTTGGCTGGATTAAGATGCTTTTCGATAATATTTTCCAAGAACTTTGTTTCAGAGGTCTACATTGGTCAAATAACATTTGAGATGTTACTGAGGACGAATTACTCAGATCTTAAGCCTCAACTTGCCGACCTTGCTATGTTCATTGCTAAAGAGTTAGATATTGATGCTTCACAGGTTAGACAAATCCAATGTGGAAATTCTTGTGGCTTTATTAAAATATCTTTGCAAGATTCAAGTCATTTATTGATAGAAGTTTAGAGAACAAATTAATCAAAGGACTTTATCTCTGTCTCTCTTTATTTGGGTTTTTGGTGGATCGTCTTCTATTCGGGAGTGGTTAAATTTGGTAGATGATTCCAGGTCCACTTTTTGAATCTTATATTGGTGGGAAGCAATTCTCTCATAAAATGGGCCATTTTCCCGCTGGAATCTGCTGCTTACATTTCTAATGTCATTTCTCCCCCCGAAGTTCTTGTGACTTTATTAAAATATCTTTGCAAGATTCAAGTTGTTTATTGATAGAAGTTTAGAGAACAAATTAATCAAATGACTTTCTCTCTGTCTCTCTTCGTTTGGGTTTTTGGTGGATCATCTTCTATTTGGGGAGTGGTTAAATTTGGTAGATGATTCCAGGTCCACTTTTTGAATCTTACATTGGTGGGAAGCAATTCTCTCATGAAATGGGCCATTTTCCCCCCAGAATCTGCTACTTACATTTCTAATGTCACTGCCATAGTAAGTTGTTTCTTTTCCTGAAAAATTTAAGTTCTATCTTATGAGAGAGCAACTTATCTATACTTTTTGCATGTAAAAAAAGGATTCTTTTTGATAATTTTTTCCCTGCTTACAGGGTATAATTTCCCAGCTTGCTGAACATCGCATGCAGCTTCCAGAGAAATTTGGACCTTATCAGTTAGTTAAATGGAAAATTGAGCCTCCTTCAAAAAGGTACATCACTCTTCCATCTTCCACTTTTGGAGGAATTGCCATTTGTGCAATTCCCTGGTTTCATTTCGTTCTTTTTACATCTATGCATACTTTTGGGCCTGAGGAAAACTTGAGATTTGTTTTTTGTGGCTTCCTTTTGTTATCGAACCTTAAACAACAAGAAAATATTTAAAATCTCTCTCCACAACCTTTTCTTCTTTCCATTTTCTCTAAAACTCTTGCATTCTCACCTGGAACTGGGGAAGAGGGAAAATATTAGAGTAAGAAGAAACCTGACTGGTTTAGATGTTTTGTGCATTATCCTTGCTCCCCTGCTGCCAAGCTCGCAAAGAATTTTGACCTTGCATCATTTTGTCCATTCATATCTGATAGGATTTTCTCATGTATTTGTTTTCTCTGCTCATTATATTATGAGTAACGAGATCTATCTGAAAAATGACTTCT